TGTTGGGCCCTGATCACTCCTCTAGGCCGTGGGCCTCTATTCCAACCCCAACCATCATTTCCCTGAAAGGAAGATAAAATAAACATTCACTCTTCTCGAATGCTGACAATAGAGAGATGGGCGAACCCCATATCTTTGCATGTCATGTAGATTGTGATTTCTATATATATTACTTTTATGTGTTCTTGGCGATGATGGCTTGACGGTGGAGGCGACGTTGTGTTGAGTGATGATGGCCCCCGGGCTCCATTTTCGTCCTGGCGAGGCATTCACATCGCACGTCGGGGGAGTTACTGGTGTTTTGGTTTCTCCCAGTTTTGTCACACTCATACCTGATGGTGTGTCGTGCTTGATGGCCGTGGGTCGTGGGCCAAACCAGAATAGGCTTGTGCCATGACGCGAAGGCTATAAGAGAAGAGCAATACCGGCCTAAAGAAGGAATAATCAACTACAACTCACTTCAAGTTCCGGATGATCCCATTTAGTCAAGTGCAAAAACTACAACTTACTTCATAGTTCAACTTGCATAATCTCTTACTACTACTGACTAGATCAACTTGCATCATCACTTCTTCCATCCGTCTGTAAAACAATGCATGTCAAAGAAATTTGTCATATTTTTGCATGCTAAAGAAAATTGACACAATATAATTCAAACAATTTTTCATAAAATGTGTCTAATACCACAATATACTTCACACTATTTTTTTTTCAAATGTTGTAACACAAAAGAATTCAAACTATTTTTAACGTGTCTAATAACACAATATAATTCAAACTATTAAAAAATTTGTATAATAACACAATGTAATCCAAACTATCTTATTAAAAATGTGTCTAATAACACAATATCATTCAAACTTATTTTTTAAGTGTGTCTAATAACACAATATCATTCAAACTACCTGTCTACGAGCCGCCTCCTCCTCCTCCTCCACAAAAAAGCTAGGGTTGCTGCCTCCCGCCGGCGCCGCCGCAGGTCCGCCTTCTCTCCGATGGCCGTAGGGCCATGGGGGCGTGGTGGATCTTGGCAAGGGTTGGCAGGAGGGCTCCGTTTTTAGTCGTTTCTTTCAGTATTGCTAGGGTTTATGTCCTGCTCAGGAAGACGAGACGGTGGCGGCTCCCTGAAGATGGAATAAAGGTCTCCCCGCCTAGCCCCCGTTCCGGCGGTGCGTCTAGCACCGTTGGTGGGCATGTGGAGGTGTGTCTCCGGTGAATCTGTCTTTGGTGGATTTGCTCGGATCTCGTCGTTGTTCGTCTATGTTCGTGTATCTTCGGATTTGATCTTTCTGATCTACGTTATTCTTCATCTGCGAAGGTTGCTGTTCTAGTGCGCTGGTCCTACGGGGCCTTAGCACGACGACTTCCCGACTGTCTATTACAACAAGTTGTGTCCAACTCTGGCGATGGAGGGACGATGACGGCGGCGCGCCTTCAGCTCGCTTCAGTGTTGGTAGTCGTCGCTAGGTGGCCTACGGATCTGGATGTAATTTTTATTATTTCTGGTATTTGTTGTACTACCATGATTGAAAATGAATAGATCAGAAATTTTCTCAAATAATAATAATAATAACACAATATCATTCAACCTCTATTTTTTTTAATGTCTAATAACACAATATCATTCAAACTATTTTTTAAAATGTGTCTAATAAGTACTAACACAATATTATTCAAACAATTTCTTTTTTTTTTAATGTGTATCGTAACACAATATAATTCAAACTATTTTCTAAATGTGCCTAATAACACAATATCATTCAAACTATTGGTTTAGTACTCATTCATGCTTACTAGGCCCTAATACAATTTTTCTACCTAGCTACAATAAGATTGAGATTGGTTATACCTCTACGACACGTCAGTGGAGCATGCAATCATCGGGGAGCATCGGGGGAAGCGGGGAGAGCGGCGCGGTAGGGTCATGTCATCTAGCTTTGCATGCATCCTCCTCCTACACAGGTTGGCTGACGAGGCACCGAGCAGCGCATCCAGAGTCGCAGCGGCATGACAAGATGCGTCCAGAGCCACATCGCCATGACCAACGTCGTGGCCCTGGACGCCCTCGCCCATGCTGGCCAGCCGCATGGCCCGCGCCCTGCCCAGCGCCATGAGCCCCATCATCAGCATGCCTTGATTTGTATATGCCCTCCAGCGGTACCTTTGCACCGGATCGTCGCTATCCGCCTCCACCATGGCCCTATAGAGGTACTCCACTGGAAGAGAGTTGTTCGGGCGCATACGGACCTTCTCTTCGTTAGTGAGACAATCGGCGATGCCAACCGCCTCCTCTAGAGCATCGGCAGGTCAGTGAACCACGACCATATCTCGCGCGGAGGGGAGAGCTTCACCACATCGCTGGCAGCGACATGAACGAGGAGTTGCGCCAGCGGAGGAGTGGTCTCCATTGCGGATTGGAGATTGGAAGGCGACGACTGCAGATCAATTGGCGAGGGTGCGAAGGGTGGCGGATTTGGGCGAGCTCGGAGTGATGGAGTGGAGGCGGCTGGCTTACTGAATAAGGTTGTATCACTTTGACTACTCCGCACGGGAGGATGACAAGTTGGTTCAGAGACCGGGTGGCGGGGCGCTTGGACCGGGGGAGCGCGGGTTGTTTCCGCAAAAAGCAAAAGGGTTATCCGCAAAAGCGAAGGGGTTATGTATTCGCATGTGTACAACTTGCATTGTAGTGTTTCTCGAGTTGCATGACCAAATTAATCATGGTGCGTCAGAGAATTTTTTTTAAGAACAAAACGTGTAATTTTCTTGATGAATTCTTAGTTTTGCCCTCGATAAGGGCTGGACCAAAGCAGACCGAAGTGACGAGATGAATGGAAAGGAGATGAAAAACGAGATGACGCAAATGCCCCTAGGTGCCGTTCCTTTTCCCTTTCCCCCGACGGATTTTGAGGCCTCGCCCGCCGCCGCCCGCTCCCGCCTGCGGGGAGCCGATCCCGCGCCTGAGCGCAGCCATGTCGATTCGTTCTCTCGTCGCCTCCAGGCTCGCCAGGTCCGGCCACGCCCTCCCCGCGGCCATCTCCCAGGTGCCGCCTCCCCTCCAACTCTCTTGCTCCTTGCTCAAATCCAAATCTTTCTTACCCGCTGGTTGTTCCTGTGCCGATTTTAATCTGGTTTGTTCGTTTGTTCTACCGCGCGATTTGGTCAGGCGCCCAGGGCCCAGCACGCCGCGTCTCCGCTGCTCTCGGGGACTCGTGCTTTCAGGTAACGGCCAACGCTAGCTGGTCCGCGCATCTATGTCAGTCTTGCTTGCTCAACATTGAACCGAATGTACGCCCTGCTGTGTGCGTGCAGCTCAAGGGCTCTATGGAAGGGGGCGTTCGTCGACGCGCGTTCCTGCAAAGAATCAAGAACAATAGGGAGAATCTGAGCGGCAGGAAGATCTGGTCTCGCAGGTCTTCCATCCTGCCGGAGTTCGTCGGCTCCTCCGTGCTCATCTACAACGGCAAGACTCACGTCCGTTGCAAGAGCACCGAAGGCAAGGTCGGCCATAAGCTCGGGGAGTTTGCTTTCACGCGCAGACGGAGGCCTCATCGGGCCATCACGGGGAAGGCCGGCGGTCAAGGAAAGGGCAAGAAGAAGTAAGAAAGGGAATGTGCTGCGTCAAAGGTGAGGTTACTTGTAGCACAATCTGTTATGGCAATCTGAATTCAATCTGTTCTGCTGTGCATTACTCTGTTTTTCTTCACTGTAGTGTAGCCCATACATCTTGTAGCACAATTTCAACCTCTTGACATGATTGAACTAAACTTTCGTGATAACAGTAAAGTTGTGGATTTGTTTGTATAGATAACTGATACTCCCTCCGTCCCAAAATAAGTGACTCAACTTCGTACTAAGTTTAGTACAAAGTTAGTACAAACTTGAGTCACTTATTTTGGGACGGAGGGAGTACAAGATTGTGAAGTAAACTTATATTTTAAGAGAGGTGATGTGTAAAATCATAGGAGCGTGTCTTTTATTATTTTTAGTTTGCTAAGTGTTTTAAGGAGCTGTACCTTATAATTATAATATTTTACTTCTGTTATTGGGGTTGGGTTAAAGTGAATTCTCCTTGTTGTGCAGTTGAGTTGTGATAGTGAGCTACATATTTCTGTAAAGTGTGTGTGATATGCCAGACTGTAGACAAAGGCTGAGCCAAGCGTGTTAAGCATCCGTGCTATGACATCTTATCCTGGTTAGAATGAGAATGCAATAAAGATGTATGGCCATAAATGAGTGAGGTTGTTGTCGATGCTTCTTCTGAAATAAGTACAGAAGCTTGGCTTGTTAAATGTGTTTTCACTACGTTTGCAAAGATCATGGGCTCATGGGGCTTTCTGGGCGATACTTACTCTTTGTCACTTGCCCAGTTGTTTATCTCACTCTGCTCATAACTTTTCAGGTGGGTTTAAGGACAGTGGGATGAGGGCGTAGTTGAAGCACAAGCACTTGAGTCACCATAATTTTCTGGACTGCATTTTCTTAGAAGAATAATTATTTATAGCAGAATGGTTAGCTCATCTTACTTGAAGATTTTCCATCGACTCTGTTTACTCTGCTAGTGGTTCCAGCATAACTCTAGAGTGCAGCTATTCACTTAAGGCACTGCTCTTATGTTTTTTTGGCCTTACTGAGGTCTGATGCCACAACTTGCCAAGTGTCTTTGCACCTGGTTAACCAGTGATTGTAAGTTCTGCTTCAAAGGTTGTTTTCAGCCAAATAGCGATGTGTGTCTTGCTACAATTCCCTTGCAATAGGAGTATCTTACGGCAAGGATGGTTATTATTTTTGCATATGTGATTATCTGTAAATATGTACTCACCCCAGGCTGGTGTAGCTGTTGTTCTAGAAGTTGTGGCAATTCAGGCTGAGCTTCTTCTTTTATTCTCCATTTGCCTGTGTTGCTCTTAGGCTGTGAGCTGCTCTAGCACTTTGTATCATTGCCTTGGGTGAAGCTTATTTGGGAATCCTACCACCCTGATGGTGTTATAACAGAGACCCGTGGGATCCTTTTGGTGGAAGATGAGCATACTCAAGCTGCTTCCTCAATTCTAGCAGATGGTAAAGGTGTTATTAGACACTGTCTTATTCTAGCAGGACAATTGGGGACATGATACATTTGAAAACCAAATACCCACAACTTTTCTCTTTCTCGGCTAAAGAGAACATGACAGTACGAGAATATATCCAGGCTACAGATTGATTGGAAAGCTTTCATACTCCACTCTCAGCCCAAGCACACCAGCAATTCCTAGACCTTCAGCTCATCACCCAGGAAGTTCAGCTCATAGATAATTATGATAGATTGATATACCCCTCAGGCATAGCATACTCATCCATCAAAACAACACATCTTCGGACGTTGCATTCTTCTTTCTCTCTCTTTTTAGGCCCTGGCGGTAGAACAATTGTTCTATGGTATATTTTATATTTTAATAACAAAGTAAAGTACTGGGAAAGAGGGAAAAAAAGGAAGGAAACAAAACAAGGAAAAAGCTAGAAAAGAAGCTCTATCCTATCTCTGGGAAACATCACTTCCATTCTTGGCCGGACTCGTGGACTGATCTAACTCTCGCTTCATGTCCAACTCACCATCAACTGCTCCTACACCAGTAAGGGTAGCAGCGTCCTCGCAACTCCCAATTCTAGTACTATGAGTATAATCTTCCGCAAACGGAAGGGATACTTTTGCAAGTGGGCAAAGCAAAATAAGACATTGGTGGTTACTTTCAGCTTATTTTCGCCTCACCTCCTTGACTCTCGCAATTTTGTTTTCCTCCAATATTTTATATGGACTGAAGCTAAACACGATAAAATAAATCTGAATTCATGTCACACGCACTTTGACATCCTTAGGCATGGGTATATATAAGACTTCTACTCATCTATAGTCTTTGTTATTAGCTCTTTTTAAGAGGACAAAGAAATAATTTGTGTGAGCATGGTATATGTGTTGAATGAGCCATTCAGGAAGCAGAATGATGCGACCATTCTACATGCATGTTATTGTTTGGTTTCGAATCTCTTGCCAGAAACAAAATGGAAGAAATGTCATGTTTGGTTGGAGGGAACTCACATCAAAGGAATGGAGAGAAATTCCTAAATGAGTGACTGGTTGAACAAAAATTGCATCTGCAAACAGGTAAATCATGAATGATCCAGAGTAACCAACTTCATGTAGAACTTAATATGCATGTTATGTTAACTTCGGTCATACTTACTATAACATGACTGGGAAGTAAAAACAGAGAGTTGTCCATGTCCATTGTTTGCATCATGAAACATGAATGAAACGGTAATCGACTGATTTAAGCCAAGTTTTCGGCTCCCTTTCAAGATCAGCATATCATAGCAAAGAAATCTAGAAAAACATTGGAGAAAGTGAGGCGCAACGCAAGGGTGTTCCGGCATAATCCTACTCAGCACCATCGTCGATGAGACAAACCTTTGGGTCAAGGCCGGGGCGAAGAAATTAGGGTCTTTTTTATTGCGGGAATAATTGTCATGCCGCTTCTTGACTATGTGTTGTAACAAACTCTTTCCCCTCATTTAATATATGAGGCAAAGCTTTTGCCTCCATTTAAAAAAAAGTATATCTTCTCTAAAGAAAGTCACAGCTCATCTGCCAACTTAAGACCCACTTGGAGCAATTTAATTCAACAATATGTTTCCATGCATTTCACAGGAAACAATCCATTTGGTAGGTAAAAATCTCTAGTATTACATCGCCATAACTATACAACATTAATCAGATCAACACCAGAGTACGTATCAGAATTTCTTTTTTGCAATACACCCTACTAATTGACCTTAAAGAATGCAGGAACCAATCAAATAAACTCTGACTACCTTTTGCTGACTCGGCAGGAAAATGGTGTTCTTTTCCGAAGAAGCCAAAAACTGCTAAAAAAGGCTGATCCAAAGGCGTGTCTATCAATCTGTTGACACGCGAGCAAGTAAGCCAGTGGGTGTTTGAACCGTCTTTATGTGACCAGACCCAATCAGATCACGGAGGTGGAACCGCACATCGAGAGGTGATAACCTCAACCTCGTCTTCTCCAGTGAAGATAGTACCATCTCCTTGTACTTCCGACGGTTCAGTAATGAAAGAACTTCCTTCCTCCCCTGCTCATCATAACCACATTTGTCAATGTCTTCTTACAGAGAAATCGAAACTGTAAGTATTTAATTAGTATCCCATCCAGAATAACTCAGGAAAGCCAATGCAAGGGGAATCAAACTACCATAATCTGGTGAGCGCATTCATGAAATACATCATTCATGATCCTTAAGTATATACAGGGATTGAACTATAAATACGTGATAATACTGGTCGAATGGATGTAGGAATAAACATCCATACATATGTGATGTCAGCTAGAAAACCACTTCTGTACCTATTTGCACGACCTATGCAAGTTTGTGGGTACAAAAGTCCAATTTTCAAGTACATGACATGGACCTACATGTACCCAACTTGCAGACATAGCGACAGATTGCAATTTAGTCTTATGTTCTGACTATACTTCAGTCAGCAGAGCAGCTTTATATCCATAAAATTTATTAGAACCATCTTTAAGATTAACTAACACCGCGAGATTTGAACCAAGGAACAGAAAAGCCAAGAAGTGCAAACCTGGGATAGGCCTTTCAAGATAGGACCAATACTTGGAATAGAAAACCAGTACATGTTTGGATCTATTAGTTGGCGTGTCTGCGAAAGATCAACATGGCACAAACAGTAAGCATGATTGGTTAAGAGCATAAACTCATCGTGTAGATGCAAACCATTAGTTTTTTGGTAAACATGGAACGCCAGTCATGCTGGAACCATGGCATGTGAATACAGAAACACCCATGATAACGATCCCATGGAAAATACTTACCAGGAGACCAGCATTCATCAATAAGGTGATATGTTTATCTCTTGCATCACCACCATGTGATAACAGTGAGCACTGTGATGAAAAGCAGAAGACGTGAAAAGCCTTGTTATAGAGCAGTACTATTTCTTGATTTAGTACTAGGTATCATTACAAAACAGTATACTAAAACAAAGTGTCAGCTCAAAGTGCCCATGATAGATCATCGCAAAGTTTCACAAAGTTAAAACTTGGTAATGACCGATTCTACGGAAAGGTTAAGATAGAATTCTGAGGATCAACACTCATCTCCAGTTAACTTGCTGAAACTTACCAGCTCTAGGTGATCAATGCTAACATCCAATTTCGAACGCAGAACATATTTCTCAAACCAGTCGAACACTTCACTACCATCTTTGTTTTTACCCGTTGACCTCCTGACAGCAGATTCCATCTGCATACACTCAGTGTAAGAAAGGAACAGATCCATTAAAGCTTGTAGTACGAATTATCACATTATAACTAAAACTTTACATCAACAAGACATTAGCTACATATTGGCGTGTCTATGATGGTAAATTTGCAGTTCAGCTAGCGTGAGCTTGGTTTGTTAAACAAGGTAAATGGGATATAGCTATCCAGCTTGGTAAGGATAGGCTTGAATGAGGTGATCCGGGTTGTCTGCTTGGTTGGGTGAGAGTATTACGAAAGATTAATTAGCTAAACGGCACCTCTTAACTTCCATTACATTAGCACCATCTAGATCTAGTGAACCTACTTAAGTCAAACAAAGAGAACATATACCTGTTTAAGATAATCATCCATGAACATGATTGCATGGTCATCCTGCCCAGTATTGAGTTTGAATACACGGAGTACTCTGTCTTTCTTCAGTGACTGCAAAAAGTATTTCTATGTTCAGGTTTCATCAGAGCAAGGAAAAATGATCTCTGATGCAATTGGATATATCAATATACAATTAGTCTACGATAATCACCAATTAACACGAGAATCGCTAGAAAATAATCCAAAGGTAAAACATAAACTTATCATTGCATTACAACAACAGTGGTGTCCACAAAAAGAATTATTGCATAAGTTCAAAACAAAACCTCCAAATCTCTATCAACTTGTGTCCTGTCCTTCACACTACTATACAATTGGGACTGTAAAATGAAAGGCTGTGTTACAACCTACAAGTGAAAACAAAAGAAAAGGATAAATTTTGTGCAGAAATGGAACTGAATCACCATCATAAAAGGAAACACTGAATTTATATAAACATATTGCAACATGTTTTTTTTCAATTATTACATGGAGCATTGCCACATCTTCCCATTACAAGGAGGCGAGGAGGAGCAAACATAAAAGACAAGAGCTAAG